ATTTCTTTTTTTTTTTCTTCCTTTGATTTGTTTTCCGTCGATCTGGTTTTCCGTGCTGAGCACCAATGCTACCAACGCCAGCAAGCTAGCTCTCATACCCGGACCCTACCTATCGACTCATCAACTCATGAACCGGGGACGGCTTCACTTCCCTTCCGGAGGAAGGCGTGATGAGGATTTTATGGCTCAGATAATCCGGCTGCACCGACTGGGACTGAACACAGGCCTTTTGGAGTGAGAGGCAATCACGCTTACAAAATTAATCACCACTGGCGCCGCTAATCTCACATAATGATAGAAAATAAAATTTGTCGATTTCATTGATTCAGCAATTTAAAAACCCAGTTAAAAATACTGACTCCTGTAAAATAATCTAAGTGTGTACACAGAAAAAAAGTTGTGGAATATTACATCCAAACAGCTGCACAGAGATCATTCCGCCGGTTGTGTAATATTACGTTGTACGATGTACATCGATTTTGCGAACAAAATTACATCCATTGATGTAATATTGTATCTGCTTTTTGCTATTACATCATTATTTCATACATCAGCTTGAATTACGTTGATCGATGTTACATTTTTTTTTTGCTGTGTAGGAGTAGGACATTCCGCAGGCTGTGTAATATTACGCTTTGTGATATACACCGATTTTGCGAACAACATTACATGAATGGATGTAACATTGTAAGGTAGAATGGTGCACGACATCTGAAGGAAAGCAGAAAACGTGCGCGAGTTAACGCCGGTGCCAACCGCACTTGGCAAATTCCATCGTCGGTGCTTTCGTCAGCATCTAGGACGGATGCACAGCACGGCAACAGCAGCGAGCTTCATTAGCATTCCGCAATCGGGCGATCGATTGGACTCCGGACTAACATAGTGGACACTTTTCGCGAGTGCTAGGTTCTCTGTAGGAATTATTGATTGAATAAAGTAGTCTTTAGGTAGCAGCAGTAGTGAGAAGATCTTTTTTAAAAAGAACCTCCGAAACTTTAACTGGCGCCCGAATAGGGACCTGCCGATGTGGAAATCGTATAAGTTCCGCGGTAAAAATCGTAAACTCAGTGCTAGTACGAAACATCATCAAAAGTGGAATATCAGAGATTCCAGCGTCCAAGGAGCCAAGCACATATCACAAACGGGTACCACGAGCCCCACCGCAGCAACCAAACAGAAATCAGGACACCGTAGCCATCCGGCTCGATCGTCATCAGGGCCCCCAGTAGCATCGCAGCAAACAGGACAACCCCGAAGTGACTGCCTGGTTTCTCTCCACAGGCAGAAGTTCCCAGCGAAGACCATCCCAAAATCATCCTCAAAAGTTCAACGGAAGATGTTGACAATCTTTATACTTCCAATACTATTGAGACAAACATAGACGCTACAAATACAAAAGATAGATCAACCAATTTTTGTTTTCGAACAAGGTGTTAGCAGAATTCAGATTCATTCCTATTATTACCTACATCATTTTAACATAGAAATCTTGAACCACCATGTAACCGATTTGAGAGATAAATTTAATAAAGTAGGAAAAACGCAGTTTACAGATATGATAGTCCAAAAATTTGACGACATAAACCTCTCACTAGGAACTATTTTACAAACCAAGATACAGAAACGTTGGGACGCAGTAGGAAAAGTTTGGAAATTTATTGCCGGATCCCCCGATGCAGATGATTTAAAGTTAATCAATTCAACCATTAACAATCTCGTAGCAAATAACAATATACAAGTAAAGATTAACCGAGAAATGGCATTACAGTTAAAAGAGACAGTATTTAAAACAAAAGATGCTATTCAACTGTTCAATTCAAAAACTTCCGAACTATATTCCATAAATTTTCTTTTCAACCTTAAGGAATTAAATGATAAGATAAACAACATTATTGATACCATAGCCTTAGCAAAAGTAGGATTATTAAATGAAAAAATGAAATTGAAATGTTTTGGAGAGATTTAGAGAGAGAAAATATTACAGTTCACTCAAATTCCGAAGTCGTTACCTATGCCAAGACAGCAATCGCCATCAACCGCAAGGAGATCGTATTATTCATCAAGATGCCGAAGTTACACCCCAGAATTTTTCGTAGAATCTATGTTTTCCCAACATTCCACAACCAACAACAAATCCACACCACAGAGAGATCTTTCCTGATCCAACCGACACAGAAATTTATCGTCAAGAACCTAGAACCCATCATTTATCGAATTGAGGACATTGAAGTAACCGAGTCTACATGCATACCAAACCTAATAGATGCGAGACCAGCCATTTGCAACTATTCATCAAATCCCATACAGCAGGAGATTGTTCCCATCGATAAGTATTATTTACTGGTGAATTCAATGAGCAATTTCACCCTATCATCAGATTGCAGCACCAATGAAAGAATTCTCAATGGATCATATCTGATTCGATACGAGAACTGCACCATACGAATCAACAACATTTCGTATGCCGGCAGAACTCGAGCCACTGCTGGAAATCCGGTCCACCTTCATCTGGACGGAATAGCTATTTCCAAGGACAGTTATATATTGAACCTTAGTATGGAACATCTCCACAAACTGCAAGCAGAAACACGGAAAGATTTGGACTTACTCCTTTTAAAAAGCTACATTCTGCATTTCCCACACTGGTCCCTTTTTGGAGGGATAACCATCCTCCCCATAATCGGTATCATTATTTTCCTCAGCATTTTCTCCCGCAGAACAAATGTCAAACTAGAGACGATGCCAAACACCAACGATCATCGTGGAAAATCGGAACCTGGAAAAAACGTCGGAAACCTAAATACATCTTCATTTGGATATACGATGCCCCTGGAGGTTCATCACTAAGGAGGGGCGAGTTAACGCCGGTGCCAACCGCACTTGGCAAATTCCATCGTCGGTGCTCTCGTCAGCATCTAGGACGGATGCACAGAACGGCAACAGCAGCGAGCTTCATCAGCATTCCGCAATCGGGTGATCGATTGGACTCCGGACTTGCATAGTGGACACTTTTCGCGAGTGCTAGGTTCTCTGTAGGAATTATTGATTGAAGTAGTCTTTAGGTAGCAGCAGTAGTGATAGATCTTTTTTCAAAAAGAACCTCCGACGTTCAAAACTTTAACTCGCGCAGCGAAACGAACCGACGGAGAATCGCAATTGCTGTGATCAAAGCGATTGGTGAGGCAGAAGGAAACAAGTCAGCTCTTTCATTATAACGACGTTCTTATGCATAATATAGTGTGCGACGTAACGTTGGATCATGTGTAAGAACACCATGAGAACAAAAGAGTCGACTACATTCCTTCTGCCGCACCTATAGTAACGCACACGGCTCCCGCACGGACTGTTCCTTAAGGCCCAAACGCAATGTGGGCGGAAGCGAAACGGAAACGGAAAGTTTGACAGTTGTCACTAATGACATCAAGATGCCAAACCGAAGTCGATTTGGATCTAACTAGTTTTCAATCCGACAAGTAGGCTTACTCAGATCGGGCTTTTCCGCTGCCGTTGCCGTTCCGCTTCCGCCGTCATTGCGCTTGGGCCTTTACTTTCTCACTCTAATCAAAATTTCCTTCGATAAGTGAGAAAACAGCACCCCGTCCATGCGAGCGAGAACGCGAGTTGCCAGATCATTGCACACAAAACCAACTTGAATTAATTCAAAACAAAAATACTAGCGAACCTGGCGGTGAGGGGCGGAAGGTGAACTAAAATTCTATTACAGAGAACCACATTATTTTAATTAATTTCTTCGGAGAAAGTCGTCTGTAACTTCGTTTGTGGTTGAAATAGTCCAGTGCACACATCTGATACATTCGAAATTAAATCTGCAATTAATCTCTGTTCGTTGAACACAAGGCTTTCATGATTCGCCATTTTGACAAACTGACAAATCCAAAAATTATAACTTCATCGATGCTTCTGGAAATCATAAGTCACGCTTATGAAATGCATAAGCGTCTTATGAAATCAAAATCATCCGGGTTCATAAGTTATGCGTTATGGAATTCTTAAGTATTTTTGCCTCAGTGTAGAATCCGCCATGTTTGGCAACTTTTACCATCATCGTGTTCATATTTTGAGCACCGGACCGCAGCGCTGCCATTTATACAGATTTATCTGTATTATACAGATTTTTTAATCTTAATACAGACCCGATACAGAATACAGATTTATCACAGATTTTTAAATTACAATACAGATTTATACAGATTTTTATAAAATGCTTGAGAAAAAAAAATCAAAATTTATAAAAACAAAATAACTTGCTCGATTTTATCAGCGTACCCCCTTCTCTATAAAATTAATTGTTGTGCTAAAAACCATATTTTTTTGCAGTGGGATCTGCTCGAGGCATTGTTGTTTCTTTTATGCTTCTCTCACTCCCTCCAACGGAAAACGCAGTCACGCCCGTCACGGTAGTTTCGCATTGAAAATGTATTTCGTAAAAAATTGCGGATTTTCTGATATTCTCCATACTGCAAAAATGATTTTACCAGCACTGGCGGGGCGACATCTCTCGACTTTTCGGTGTAACTACCACACAAATGATGTAATTAATTGTATTCATCTATATTAAAAATATCAAATAGTAAGGAACTCGTGCACTTTTTGCATTTAAAACTGCTTATCAGGAAGATTATGAATAGAAACTAAAATCTCCATACATTTTCAAACGGCTTCATATCACTCTTATAAATAAGTACGGACGATATCACAAATGGCGCAATTATATCCCGTATGGTTAGTACGATAGCCCGAATAGGTGGTTAAGCACTTTTTATGGTTATTTTGTATGCACTGTATTTGTAAAACAACAAAACATGATTAATTAAGAAAAAAATCGTCAATACAGAAAATACAGATTTTTTAATAGAGTGGATACAGATTTTTTATAAAACCACCTGGCAGCTCTGCCGGACCGTCCCCGGATTCGCTACTGTCAAACTTTCCAAAACAAGAAGAAGTGGGTTGTGTTTCTGTTTTCTCCATCAGCTGAATCCAGAAAAAAATCACAAATTTTGGTAGATTTTGAGCAAATTGGCCTTCGTTTCGAACCGTGAATACCGCGCGATGGCTTCAACCGAACCGGAAAAGTGTTTCACGTGCTTCCGCCGGACGGACAAGTTCATCCGCATCACCGAGCAGGACGGCGTCAGCGGTGAAGATCTGCAGGAGATCTTCATCAAACACTTTTGGTTTACCGTTAGTTGACGCCGAGTTGGAATACCTAGTTTTTTTTTGTTTTGTTTTAATTCTTTGAATTGTAGAAGAACCAGTTTCACAACAAAACCGTATGCACCACTTGTTGGGAGAGGATTGATGACTTTCATCGGTTCTACTGCGAGGTGGAGAAAATGCATACCGCCGAGCTGCTGGCGGTCAAGGAAGAGTTACCAGATGAAGTGGAGGACGATCTAGCTACGAAGATGGAGGATGAGGAAGAACCGGACCAAGGCGAAAGGTGAGGTGTTTTTTCTTTGTTACTGGAAGCGCTGATTTGAAAATAGAATTTGTACTATTTTTAGTGATGTTTTTGCCGAAGCACTCTGCAAAGTGGAACACGCGGGGGACGCTTCTAATTCTTCTCATTCTAGCGATGAAGAGGACGATGAGGATGACGATGACGACGATGAAGACGAAGACTATGTGGATCCCATGGATAAGAAAGGTTCCGACTCGGAGTCGGAAGTACCGCTGGCAAAGCGAAAGGCCACACGAAAGTTGCAAAAGCATAAGAAATCAAATGTAAGGAAACGAGTTCCGTTCTCGTTTAGCTGCAAGCTCTGCGTTGATGCCGGAACGGAGAATGATGAACCGTTTACAACGTTCTACCGCCTGAGTAAACATTTCCGCGAAGTACACAAAAGCCCCCCTTTCGTAATGTGCTGCGGTCGTAGGTATAGCAGCCGGCGAGGACTGGGACATCATTTCAAGAAGCATCCGACCATGAAGAATATTTCGAAGCGCTGCGTTGAGTGTAATATTTACTTCCGGAGCGAGCATGGACTAGCCAAGCATTTGTTCTTGATCCATACACCGGAGGATCAGAAGCAGTTCAAATGTGACCTCTGTTTGAAGGCATTTGCCGACGAGGAGCTGCTTAGAATTCACATCAATTGGCATTTCCAGGTACAGCAGAAGGATCACTACTGTGCCGAATGTGATCGATACTTTATCAGTGCTATCAACCTGGCAAGCCACAACGAGATGCAGCACCAGACTCCGTTAGCGGCAACGAAACCGGATCTCGATGATGACGCATCCAACGATTCAGATCAATCGGAATCGGAATCCAAAGTTAAAGGAACGCCGGAATCCATTGCCAAAGAGGAGGAAATCATTCACAAGATTCTCACACTGAACTGCTCCGCGTGTGATGTTGTAGCCGATACTTTCCAGCTGCTTAAGAAACACGGCCGAGATGCTCACGGCTTGAAGCTGATGACAATTGTCTGCTGCGAGCGTCGATTCAGCCGACGGTCACGCCTCTACGAGCACTGCCTGTTCCATTTGAAACCGGACGCCTTTGAATGTGAACTCTGCAAGAAGAGATTCCCGGATAGTAATGCACTGCAGCATCACAAATGGTGGATGCACACTCCGGCGTCGGAGCGCCCGTTCAAGTGCGACATTTGCGGAAATAAATTCATGAAAGAATATTTACTCAAACAGCACATTCAACGCCATGTGGAGCAGGAACGAAAGGTGTTCCAGTGCCAGCTATGCGACAGGGCGTTGTCCACCGCGTCGCAGCTCAGGGCCCATATGCAGTCTCTGCACGGTGAGGCTAGTGCCTGGGTTTGCGATGTATGTGCCAAAGGTTTCTCTCATCGGTCCGTATTGGAACGACATCGACTGTCGCACACTCCGGAGGGTTTGGCCAAAATGATGGAACAGTGTACAAACTGCAACAGATGGTACTCCAACCGGAAGAGCTTCATCAAACATCGGCGGCGCTGCGGTGTGGCCCAGCCGGTCAAGTGCGACCAGTGTGATCACACGGCCGTCAATGACGTAGCCCTGAAGACTCACCAGAAGCTACGGCACACCGACCGACCCAAGTATCCGTGCACTTACTGTGGAAAGGAGTTTTCACGGGAGCTGCGATTGAAGGTTTGTATCCTGAAAGTCGTTGAAATAGGCTTGCTTGAATCCCGATTTTCTTCCACAGGAACACGAAGCGAACCACGCCGGTATTGTCCTGTACAAGTGCGAATTCTGTCCCAGGATGTGTAATTCGAGCTCGAATATGTACACCCACAAGAAGGTTGCTCACCCGGAGCAGTGGGCCCAAAGGGTGGCGGCCCGGTTCGGTCCGCCGCCGACGGTGCCGCAGTAAGTAAGTGGATAAGTGTATCACATCACAGCTACATACACACAGGGTAGGGATGCATGAATGGAAGCTCTAAACTAAAATATAGGTAAGCTTGTTTTAAGACTTTCAGAATTAAAATTGATGTTATTTGGAATAGTGTGCGCGTGTTGTCGAAAGAAACGTCCTTGTTGCGTTACATCCGAGACGCACCGTAGAAAGCCTGATGGAAGCCCCCAATCGCCCCATCCCAGTCCGCCAACTGCAGCCAGCGTTCACCACAGTCGTCTCGGCTCTGAGGTTGGTGGTAGAAAGGTCTTCCACCATGCTTGCACCGGTAAGTATTTTTACGATTCGAATTTTTCGTTGCGTGATGAATTCCCCCACATCCAGATTCTCACCAATATCCCGACGCAAAAGGAGGTGGCGTCGTTGTCTTCCCCTCTCCTGACGAATGGTTCTACTTTCCAACCGGGACGCACCGTAGATAGCACAGTGGAAGCCCCCGGTTCCTCTATGTCAGTCGCGCCATTTCCTGCCAACGTTAACCACAGTCGTCCCGGCCCTGAGTTTAGATGTGGGTCGGGGGTCTTCCAACTTGCTATACCAGGCAAGCATAAATTCAACATTGATCATTCGCTGCCTGAAGTCGGTTTGATTTTCAGCGCACAGGAATCTCCTAACGAAGGAAATGCACGTCATGGGAACATAGAATCAACTCCGTATCAGCCGGTTCCATCTTCTTCATCTTGAACCCTGGTACGCACCGTGGAAAGTATTTTGGAAGCCCCTAGTCCTTCCGACGCAGTCGCGTCCCCCGCTGACATCGCTCATCAGAGGCCCTGCGATCGGAAACGGAGAGGGGGTCTTCAGAATCTCCCAATCAGGCGAGTATAATTCAAGATGTGTCTTAGAACATCCCCTGCCTGATAACGTTGCCAATTCTAGATCGCAATGCAGCCCCCGCCAGGCTACTTATCGTCACAGTCAGGCCATCTGCATGTATTACCCGAACGCTGGTGGGATGAATTCCAACATCGATGATTATCGCTTAGCGGTTTCGGATCGTTGCCTCGACGTCATGACTTGGCTCGATGCTACTCGCACATTGTCAAATCAAGTGTTTGGTTCCGAATACGAAGTTTTTCGATGCGATCGGAATCCGCACAACAGCCGCAAATCTACTTGTGGAGGGGTGTTTACTTTCCTTCGGATCGAACTCGCGACTCTACGCTAATTGAATCCCACAGTCAGTCTATTCGGGGGCCTCCCTTAGCTCAGGCGGTAAAGGCGCAGCTACAAAGCAAGACCATACTGGAGGTGGCTGGGTTCGATTCCCGGTCCGGTCTAGGCATTTTTCGGGTTGGAAAATTTCTCGACTTCCCTGGGCATAGAAGTATGATTGGATTTGCCCCACAATTATACCAATGCAAAAATGGTACAGGCATCGAATGCTCTCAACTATGGAAGTGCATCTAGAACACTAAGTTGATAGCACGCAATAAGCTAATATGCGATATGCAATAAGCTTGAAATGCGAAGAAGAAGAAGAAGTCAGTCTATTCGAGCTATAATGGAGATCGCTACAGCTGCTGACAAGATGATAATCATTGGCGACTTCAATCTATCGGCAATTTCTTGGCGATCATCTTACGGTGGATTCCTGTATCCGGACCACGATCGTTCTACATTTCACTCTTGAGCTGTAAGCCTTTTGGATCATTACAGTATCGCCACTTTGAAGCAAATCAACCACGTGATTTATGAGAACAATCGTAGCTTTGACCTTTGCTTCGTCACCGCTTAGGATACTGCTCCGCATTTGTCTATGGCTGTTTCTCCGATGATAAAGACTGTTCCACACCATCCTCCTTTAGTTATTGCACTTGAAGGCAACCAAATTCCTGAGGTCATTCTGCCCCCCTAGAGGTCTCCTACGATTTCCGAAATGCTGACCACGACAGTATTGGGGAACTTCTTTCGAATTTGGACTGTCCCAGGATACTCGTCCCTGCCGATGTCAATGCAGCTGCCCAAACGCTCTCGCATATTTTGGCTTACGTCATTGAGCGACACGTTCCGAAAAAAAGCTCTTAAATAAGGTAATCATCATCCTTGACAAGTGAACTCCGTATGTTGAAGTCTTCCAAAAGAGCCGCGCTAAGAAAATACACCAAGTACCACACCCTACAACTCAAGGACCATTATGCGAGCATCAATCATGCGTTATCAACGAGATGTTCAACGGAAGCTTCGATCTCACCCGAAAACTTTTTGGAATTATGTGAATGAGCAACGAAAGGAGTCTGGCCTTCCATCGACTATAGTACTGAACGGCGAAGAAGCTTCATCCCCTCAGGACATTTGGCGTCTGTGCTCAACCAAGTTTGCGAATGTATTCTCGGATGAGAACCTACCTGACGAGCACGTTTTTCTAGCAGCCAGTAATGTTCCAATGTCTGGTCAATCTTTGGCAGCTATCAACATCGACCTCGCTAACTAGGGCGGCTTCGCAACTGAAGTCTTCTTTTAAGCCTGGACCTGACGGAGTTCCTTCCGTCTTTCTCAAGCAACACATCGATAGCCTGGTGGCTTCTCTCTGCCTTTTGTTCGAAATGTCCCTCTCCAGTGGGGTGTTTCCTTACTGCTGGAAATCAGCTGAGATGTTTCCAGTGCATAAGAAGGGATGCAAAAGAAACATCGACAACTATCGCGGCATCACATCGTTGTATGCCATATCTGAACTGTTCGAGTTGGTCGTTATGGAACCATTCTCTGCTTGAACGTCAAGCAGTTTAGTTCGGTTAGAGCTCGCTCTCTTGAGTTGTTCGGAAAGTTTCTTAGTTAGTGTTAGCGCTCTCTCTTTCGTGGTCTGTTGTGCGTGTGTGTGCCCCGAAATGGGGAAGCATCGCTCGCGAAGCCCGGTGAAGGACCAGAACCCCGGTGAAGGAAGCTCCGGTGTGCCCACATCGAACAGGTTTGCTGTTCTTCCCATTGATGGGCATACCCAGCCCGCTGCAAAAGGAAAGCGCAGCAAGAAGAGGAAGAAGAATCGGAGCCAGTCCAGTTGCACGATTTCTCGCGACGATGCCACTGCGACAAACGGCAGTGATGTCGGAGATTTCGGTGACGTTGCCGACACAAGCACGGCAAAAGTAAAACTACCTCCGTTGGTAGTAAAAAATGCCCATCTTAACGATCTCATCGCAGATCTGGCGTTGCTGGGCGTTAAAGCCGAATTCAAGTTGGGCAGAGTCGGCACCAAGGTTATGCTCCGTACGAAAGCGGAGTATGACTTGGTCGTTGCCCACCTGAGGACTACCAAGGTGGAATTTTTCACCCACGACATTCCCGGCGAGAAACCATTCAAGGACGTCATCAGGGGTCTACCGAATTTTGACCCGAAGTTGATTGAAGCGGAAATCAAGAACCGCTACAAGCTGGCCCCAACTGCCGTCTTCCGAATGACAAGGAGGGACGAGAACGTCAAGAGGTATCCGGATTGTCTTTTCCTGGTGAATTTCCAGAAGGGAACGGTGACGCTCAATGCGTTGAAGGCTATCCGCTCCATCAATTCCATCATTGTTCGATGGGAGCCATACCGTGGCGGCCGTCACGACGTCACTCAGTGTCAACGTTGCCTGAATTTCGGGCACGGCACCCGAAACTGCTTCGTCAAGCCGCGCTGTGGCAAATGCGCCCAAAACCATATCTCCTCCGAGTGTGTTGTCGACGAGTCGGAAACGGCCAAATGCGCCAACTGTAATGGCGCTTATCAAGGGTCCGATAAACAGTGCCCCAAACGCGAAGATTTCAAACGGATCCGAAAGCAGGCGTCCACAAGAAATCAACCAGGACGAAAGAAGGACAATACGCCGGCATTCAGACTGGAGGATTTCCCGCCTCTTCCTGCTGCGCAACACGGTCAAGCAAATCCACGGGTGCAATCCGGCCCCCGCCAAGAAACATCTGGTGCCCAGCTGGACAAAGCTCTCCATCCCCCCCTGGATTCTGGAGACAACCACCAGCACAAAACGCCAATCCCGATCTCTTCTCTGCGGATGAGCTGATGAAGATTTTCGTCGATATGACCAGCGCTCTTCGTCAGTGCCGCAGCAAGCCCGAACAGATCCAAGTGCTCGGTAAATTTATTATTCAGTATAAACCGATAACTGTCGTCACATGGAACGCATGCTCTTTAAGAGCAAAAAAACTCGAGCTTGCTGACTTCCTCCGCAAGCATAATATCGACGTGGGCCTCTTAACGGAGACCCATCTTGAATCCGGTGACAGTTTTTGGTTGCCTGATCACCACATTATCCGGCTTGATCGTATCGACTCCAGGGGTCATGCGATCATCATCAAGAAAGGAATCAAGGACCACCATCACTCGCACGAGCTCACGATTCGTCATTGGGGGCGATTTAAATGCCCGCCACGAAGCATGGCGGAACTATCAGCGGAATCAGAACGGACGTCTGCTCTTCGACCACTCGCAGCATGGGCTGTATACAGTGAAATTCCCTGATGAATCGACATTCATCTCTCCGGCGGGAAACCCTTCCACGTTGGACTTTTTTCTATCGAACATTGGACTATCCAAACCGATGGCGATCAACGATCTCAGTTCCGACCATCAACCGGTGGTGGCTGAAGTCGGCACCCACGTGGCACCTGCTCAAAGCCTGCGCAAAGACTACCATCATGTCAACTGGATGCAGTTTGGGCATGTGGTCGACAGAAACATCGATGAAAATCCGCTGCTTGACACCGTAGAGGACATCGACCGGGCACTGGAAGGACTCCACCAGGCCATATCCGTGGCTGACGAGACGTGTGTTCGACAAGTTCCTGTGAGGGGTAAGTTTGTTGCCATTGATTCCCACACCCAATTACTGATTCGCTTAAGAAATGTGCGTAGACGCCAGTTTCAGAGGACTGGAGATCTAGCGAGGATACGTGAAATGGCCGATCTGAACAGGCAGCTTGCTTCCAGAATGGACTCACTCCGAAATGAAAGTTTCGGGCGTGTTGTT